CTTCTGAGGTGAAAGCAGTGGATGGTGTTTAATTTAGTGACGTAAATGATGTTTTCTTTCTCGCTTTTATGTAAATATATTTCTTTTTTTTATTGTTTGAGTTAATTTTGGATATATTTGAGAATAGTATGTATATAAAATATATTACAACTTTTTCTTTCTTCTGTAAACAGGGAATATGGCTTTGCCTTTTGTTTGATTTTTTATGTCCCGCATTTCTATCGTAACGAAGGTTGTTGTGGGGAGATCTTTGTGTCACTGAAGATTGCTTTCAATGATTGCAAAATCAAAAATATAAAAAATATTGCAATACTATAATTTCTCTTCTAGAAGTCATAAAAGAAAGAATAGGTATACTTTGGTTTGATAAGCCAAAAAAAATAACCCCGACTTGCTTTTGTCACTCAAGCAATACCAGTTTTTCAGTTTGATTTTTTCTTTAAATTTGTTGTCATTTCTTATTCTTCATTCTACCTCTCCTCTAATTTTAAAATAAAATACACTCTCTTTATGTCCCCCAAATGAAGTATTGAAGTTCAAAATATGATGATCGACATTTTTAAATATTGAGTAAGAAATACTTTTACTTTCACGATACATATATATCATTTTGGAGGCTTATGTCAAATGATTTTATTCACGCTAAATATAAGTCAGATTAAAAATCCAATATAATGTTATTATATCTTAATTAATAATTTTACTTCTTGTTACACAGAACAAACTTTATAGAAAGAAACAAAGTCAAATTATAACTTCAACAATTAGTTTTAAACTATAATTGTTGTCTTGCCCATGCATTTCAAGTTCAACTACGATATCGCTTTAACATATGAAAATATTAATTACCAGTTTGTATTTTTTTTCTCTTCTAATTCAATTTTGAATCCCATACACATGTTTTAACAATATTTATGTTTTGAAAGTATGTATTAACTGATAGGAATACACGTGCGACGCACGTGTCCAAAACTAGTATATATATATATATATATATATATATATATATATATATATGTTATTTTGTTTCTTAAATTGTATATATATGTTTTTTACCCTTTTACTAAAATTTCCATATTTTAAACATTTTTCGGTATCAATTTTTAATTTTAATATAAGTTTAAGCTAGGCTTACACATTAGAAAAAAACCTAATAAATACGTATTTTCTTTCTTCAAATTGAAGTATTGAACAGAAAAATTTGTTTGTTTTACGTTAGAAGAGAACCCTAAAGAAATACCGATCTTCTTCTTCTAGTTCAACAGAAAATTTTGTTTGTTTTGAGAATATAATGGGGAAAAGTAATAGTCATCCAATGGACAAGGAGATGATGAACAGTTTGGTGAAGTATGTAATAGGGAAGCCTTTTCCTCGTAAGCATACTGTTATGGATGTCGATGATGTTTACGGAATCAGAGTATTCAGTCCATCACAAATCCTTGAATCTACCAAGGGCACAAATAGCAACACACGATTGTTGATCACTTTTCAGAATAGGGAAAACTGTAAAGTATTTGCTAGTAAAGAGGCCCCTGGGTTTTGGAAATCTACACCCAAACGCAAGTCAATTTTTGATGCCAACAAGAGACACATTGGCAACATCAAAATTTCGTGGTACTACTACTACAACGTCGATGATGGTAGAGACAAATCATCATCCAGATTGAGACAGAGTGAATGGCAGATTAGAGAATATTATCTCACATCCAAATATCTGCCCCAAAGCAAAGTTGAGAGAAAAAATGTCTTATTAACCATGATGATCAAGACCAAAGCTGCTAATGATAATAATAATGACAAATCTGATGAGAAGATGCAGAGGATTGTTCTTGACAAGCAGGATATTATGCAATCTTTACAATGCCTTCAACTTTAGTGATTGAACAACAGATTAGAGCCAGTTTGCGTTTTTGTTTGTGTTAAAAAACATTACTGATCAATATTATCAGGTTCTAACTGCTATTTACTAAGTGTTTTTTTTTTCTTTCTAAATTTCCTTTATTTGATAGTCTGATATAAGTTTTATTCTACTTACAACTTGTGTGTGAAAGTAAGGTTTCTTAGTCTTTTGTGTATCTGGGCTGGTCTAATTGATGCCTTTTCATGAACATCTTACTTCATATATAAAATGTTTTATTCTGGTTTCTCAAACTCTTACGCGATTTAGCTAGTTTAGAATTTGAAGACACAGAATTTGGGAGCGTACGGTATGTACCAAAAGCTGGTAGGATTAATATTATCTGTTTGGCTGACTGATTCAAAGAGTTAAGACTATCAGTTGCTTGCAAAATCTGGTTCACCATTGTGTCTGGAGATGAGTTGCCGGTCTAATGGTGAGAGTGAGAAAGTTTCATCGCCTCATGACAGGAGTATTTTGGTGTATCCACAAGCTTCAGCGAGTTACAGAGTAGTGTGGTGTACCCACAAACTGTACTTATAACTGGATGGATGCATGTCAATGAACAGGGTAAAATGCGTGATCCTTACATTCATGGTTTCGTCCTCTGATGCGAATGGACCAACGAATATGTACACGGGAGTTACCAAAGATTCAGGAGGAAATTGAGCCGACTTGCCAACAATTCCCCCCTATAGTAACTCAGGGGCTGAACATGGAACTCATTCCTTGAACCAGCAGATGGCGACTGCTGGCTTTGCCGGAACGCTTGCTCCGTCTACGTCTTCGGTACTTCCTCTTCTATATTTAAGGATTTGTAATGTTCTTGGTGTTATTCTTTTAGTTACTTGTTTCTTCAAGCTGTCATGTGCAACTTTATCTCTTAAAAAAGTGTCCTGTTTTTGTTCCTGCATGGGCTGGTCAGATCTCGATTGTTCTTTTGTCATTTTCTCCCTTCCATCTTGTGTCAACTTGGCCTTATTTAACCTGTAGTTTCTTCTCATTTTATCTGCAGAATTATTTTCCCACACATCTTCCAATACTCTAAACTTTGCTATTTTGAATTTGGCAAAGTTTTCCTTTGTTGTTTGTGCTTGTTTCTGGGTTATGGTCTTTGTCAAAACTTGGAAGGTCTGGTCTATCCACAAACTATTTGTGTATTGTACTTTCATATTAATCGTTCCACACTGCACTCTCCGAACCGAACCCAAACTTAACTTAGCAATTCTTCACATCAGTTTAACTTTATTTTCCCTTTTTGAATTATCTCATGAGTTTCAACTCGCTTCCCTTTATTTTTCTAGTATCATATAGCTTAACTACTAATGTAGGTTTAATTATCAATGAGTTTAAAGTCAGAGAGTTCGATCATTTGCAAACATAGTGATAATATCCGGAGAACTCTACTCTCTAAGTTGTTGCTTTTAATTTTTACTTAGGTTTCTGAACTAATTGTTTCAGTGTTAGTTAGTGCTTCTACTTGATTTTTTGGGTACATTTGCTTTTTAACATTTCATGTTTATGTTAAAAAGTATGTTTTTTTGTTGACAATCCTCTCAAAATTATTCTTGATAAATGATTTTCAGATTTATTGGATGGTTCTGATTGAAACCTGGAAGGTTTTAATTATTTTTTCGGTAAGTGAGATGGGCATTCTCATTAACACACTGTAGCGCATGTCGCATGATGCTCTTTAAAGAGGTGTAGGAACGCCTGTGTCCTGTTGACGTGGACTCTTCAAGTAGTCAAAGTTTGTTGTGATTGTTGCTTGCTTTAGATGGTCTGGAATAGTTTTAATTTTGTAGCAGTAAGAGTTTAGGTTTTGAATTGGTTAATAGAGCCTTACCCACTGTTTGCATTTGCAGTTAACGATGCTTTGTCAGGAAACTGAGAGCAGGAGGGGGAAATGCTTGCTATTTTCTTCTTCTAAATTTATTGATTAGTGTCTTTTAGATTCCTTTTTATTTATTTATGAGTTCCATATCTCTGGATTTTATTTTTTTTAGTGAAAGAGGGTAAGGTAATTAGTTGAAACTTGAAGCTTCTAAGTTATGTCATTTTTTAAGTCATTATCGGGGAGAGAAGTAAATGCTAACCATTTTTAATGCCATCTGCTGTCCTTATTTTTTACAGTAGAAGTTCTAGTGATTCAGTTAGGACAACAATATTTTATCAAGCAACACAAATATGCTGGACTGGCCATGATATTGGAACTCAAATTGAATCTCTTATTCTTAGTCCGAGTCTTTGCTATGTTTTCTCTCTGCTCTTCCATATATATTATTCAACATTTGGTTGTGATTCCTGTGGGATCCTTGCATTTACCTGATGCAGGGATGAATCACTGCTCTGCCAAGGGCTAGCGCTGAATAATGAGTTGCATCTTGTATTGGCCAAGCACAAATCTATTGCTTCCGGAACTTCTGTTCAAGTGGAAAAACCAAAATCCGAACCACATCAACCTCTTGTAAATGTTGATACTCTGCTTATTGAGATCGGAGGCCGCTGATTGAGGCCGCAAACAATCAGTCCAAGGGTAAATAACTATTATCTGTGTCATTCTCTTATTTGGCCTCTGTATACAAACTGAATCCCCCACTCCTCCTCTCCAAATATGTTTTGATTCTTGGTTTCTTTTTGAGCGAGCTCATAGCTTAAATAGTACACGTGGATTTTCTAGATTGAAATGTTAAATTGTTAATTTCCTAAAATGAGTGACCTTAAAATTATTATCAACTAGATTAGGATGTTATCAAGGTTCAAAGTCTTCTGGTACTACAAGATTGATGGAAATATGTGACTTTTTTCTTTGTGATGCAGAATTTTCCTAGTCAGTGCTAGGTGATTGTACTTTAAATAAGCTATCCCTTCCCCTTCCCTCAAAGAAAAGGGGAAATATGATAGAAATCCTGAGTATACTTTTTCATTTTTGAGTCTTCAAATGTGACGCAATCTTTTTCATATAAATCGCTTGGTGTGTTTTTCAGATCTACATCAAATGCTAGCCTAGGGACACAGTTGCTTCTTCCTGCTCCTCCTTCAGCTAGCATTCCATCAACAACAACAAAAATTGATCTTCTGAGTGGAGATGACTTCAGCTCACCTACAACTGAGAATGTCCTGGCCCTTGTTCCTGTTGGTGGAGAACCTCAGCCTGCAAGTCCTGTTTCACATCAGAATGCCCTTGCTCTTGTTGACATGTTTTCATCACCCAGCAACTCACAATCTCCATATTCAGCAGGGCAGACCCATGCTTCATCCCCTCAATTTCGACAACAGAGTTTCACTTCTACCCAGTCAGCTTTGTACCCAAATGGAAGTGTCCCCGGAACTACATATACACAAGGCTCTAACACGGCCTGGAACGAACAGATATCACAGCAACAGCAACAGTCACCTTCTCCAGTTTATGGTGCGTTTCTTTGTCATTCTGCATGCATTCTGGTTTATATCAACAACAACAACAACAAAAAATCTGCATGCATTCTGTTTTACTTTGAAGTTCTATAGAAATGTGTACTCTGTTCGCTATAGGTCGAATTTGTCCTCATTATTATTCTCTATTACCCCAAAAGACCGCGCAACCATTAGATATGTTAGTGAAAAGTTAAACAGGGATATGCTGAAGTATAGCATGTGTTTGAAGTTGGTATGCCTCATGTGTAAAACCCAATTTCTGTACATGTCTTATGTATTGCCTGAATTTTACGACCTCTTGTTCATTGAGTTTTTGAATTATTACTCATATAGTGCTTGTCTAATTTCTGATTAGGTGGTCAAAGCAGTTCTTTTCCACCACCTCCATGGGAAGCTGAGGCAGCAGAGAGCAGCCAAACAGTAGAGTTGCCTTCAGTTTTGTCGTCAAAAGATTGCACCGCCGAGTGCTCTACTGAAGTTGTAAGTTTTCTTATGCTGTTATTTTTCCTGTCATTTTACAGTCAGTGTGTGTTGCCTTACAAAATGACTGATGACTTTGCAGTTGCAAGTGGAGCAAGAATCTTTTGGCTGTGATGAATATGACAGTGGATTTGCCTTCAGTTTCATCATCTTTTAATGATGAAAAAGGTGTTGTCTAGATCCAGTCATACAATGGACCCTGAAGCTAATGATTGTATGCAACCTCTGCTTGAGAGTGTATTGGAAGAGTATTTCACTAGCCTTTTGCATGAAGAGACGTGATAATCAAGGTAAATATTTGAAACTTGCTGTGATTTGTGTAAATTTATCTCTCTCCCCTAGAAGAGCATATGTGGTGGAGAGATTTTGTTGAAGCAATCCCTTACCTGATTATGTTTTCCCTGTAGAATTCGAGATGCAAATGCTTACCGAAATATGATCAATGAGCTTTTGCATCTCAATTAGAAACAGTTTTATTTTGCAGGTTGCTGAGGACTTAAATATTTTGAATGGCGTTGCAAGTCAAAATGATTCTTCTGATGCCATTTCGGTGTCAGAAAACTTGGCTTGTGTAGATATTCAGACTACTTCACTGTGTAAAAAATTGGCCTAACCCATCGGTGGCCCCCTAAACTTGGCACCAACTTTCACTTGGACACTTTAACTAGGCTTTGTTCATTTTAAGCACCTCATGTCAAACCTCAATGTATCATTTTGACACTTTTTATATTTTCAAAACCGCATTTTAAGTGCGTACATCCAGACGCCTCTTATGTGGAAAAATAAACGAATTGGTATGTGACACGTGGAAATTTTATTTTATTTTTAAAAATCTCAATTTTACCTTCTTTTTTTCTTTCTTCCAGAACCCAAACCCCATGCCCCCACCTCTTTTCTTCTTCTTCTTCTTGTGCCTCCTTCCCCTTCATCTGTTCTTCTCCATCAAAAAGGCAAGAACATAGGTTAGTTTACAAAGTAAAATACGTTTTGGAGAATAAGGAAAATCATACCAAATCGAAAAGTTTTTATATGACATTTAAAAGAAGATGATTTCTTGTGCTACTATGATTGAGATTTACAATGAAGGATATATAAAATAAATTTCCTCTTTTTTCATTGGAAGTTGTTTTTTATTTCTTTTTTATTCCTTGAAATCAATTTAATTTTCAATGGAGAAGGTAAGAATGTAAATCAGTTTTTCCATTTGAAAGAAGTTGGTTTCTTTTTTTGTTCCCTTGAAATCGATTTTGTTTTTGAATATGAATCAAGATGCAAATTCGATTTTCAAAGAAGATGGAAGAATCAAAGCGTGTAACCTAGTAAAATATTGTAGAATTTTTAAAAAAAGTTGTGTGGTGATGGAGGATGGTAGAAGGTGGGGAAGATGGAAGGGAGAAAGCAAGGAAGAAGAAGGAGAAGAAAATATTTACAAAAAAATTCAGAATATTTACAAAAAAAGTCTCTGACGCGCTCAAAATTCGTGTAGCACATGTACTGTGCTTAGTCAGCAAAAAGTGTCAAAATGACATAGCGAGACCCTACATGAGGTGTCTAAAATGAACATCGCCCACTTGACGTGCCTAAGTAAAACTTCGTGCCAAGTTTAGGGGGCCACCGATGGATTAGCCCTAAAAAATTATTGCACCAGAAGTCTATTACATATGTGATTCCTATGTCAGATCAGTTTTCAAGTGCATTTCAGAAGTCTGCTGATTTAGACAATGCCTCGATTAATGAAATGACTGATGAGCTGCAACCACCTGAATACTTTGTGCTACTTGGATGTGTTCCTAATCCATGAATATCAACTTCAAATCACGATTTGAGGTTGAAAACACAAAGGCATGACCCCTCACCCATTGAACAAAGGGGATCCGTGGGGCAGGCTCAAACACTTCCTGGGTAGGTGACTCTGAATGGACTCGTGACTTCATTGATATCTTTGTCAACTTTTGGATTCAGTTTCCTTAAAAAAGGGTAATTGTGGCTGTTTGAACCCAACCGACAAGGAGATGATGAAGTATTTGGTGAGGTACGTAATAGGAAAGCCTTTTCCTAGTAATCACAACGTTATGGAAGTCGATTATTATGATAGAATCAAAATGCTAATTCATCTGAAATTTTTGAATCTACAGAGGGCGCGAAGAACACATGCTATTTGATCGCTTTTCAGATTTTGAAAAAAGGCCAATTTTTTTGCTAGTAAAGCAGCCCCAGGGATTTGGAAACCTACAGGAGAAGTCAAGTCAATTTTTGATGGAAAGAAGAGACACATGGACAACGTCAAAACTTCCTGGTACGATCAAATTAATTGTTCAAAAATTATGTGATTTCTGTTACTATTTTATTTTGTTGTATATCTAAAGTATATTAAGTATGTACATAGCAATTTTTTATTTATTTTTAATTGAAATTAGATTATAAGTATTTGAATTATGTCCACTGATAACAATAGCAAACAATTACAAGATTGGAGGAGGATTGATTGATTCTTGGTAGAGAAAAATGAATTTGATTACTTTTTAGCTATTGGGAAAACTCAACTATTTGACTGTTTATTGTTTCATGTTCTATTTTTTATCCTCCCGATGAACATCAATCACCCTTCATCCTTCCCTCCCTCACGGTGTACTTACTATTTGTTGTTTCTACAGGTACTACTACTACAGTAGAGACAAGTCATCATTGAAAACGATTGAGTGGCCTATGAGAGAGGTATTATCTCACATTTAAATATCTGTCTCCAAACAAAGTTAAGAGAAAAGATGTCCTATTTACCATAGATAAAAGAACTAAAAGGTAGTAATAATGACAATGAAGGGAAATCTGATGGGGAGATGCAGATATATAATTCAATCTCTACAAGGCTGCCTTCAACTTGATCTCGTCAGAATGATGTTGCCTCGAGGATTGTCATGGTCTATTCGGCCACTTTCTATTGTATTTACAGCAGTAGAGCTCAGTGTATCTGTAGGAAAATGCATATGCCTAACCTCTATACAACACTGTTAAGTCAAAAAAGGTGGTGAAATAGTATCACCAGAAAGCACAACTTTCTGGCTCAACAACTATGTATACACTAACTAGCTAATGTAAAAATTTGCCTCATCAGCTTTTGTTCTAATGCTAGGCATGTGCCTTATATTATATGGTACTAAAAAAATTATTATGTTGAATATGTGATAATGTCTGTACATGTTTTGTAAATGCAAGTTTATGAACATCTATCTCAGGAATGCTAGTCTTATGAATTTGTTAGCAACAAATGCAAATCTGATGTAATTTAGTAGGACGAGAGGGAGTTGCTCGGATGATAAGCACCCCTCACTTTCAACCCGAAGGGTGCGAGTTCGAGTCACCAAGGGAGAAAAAGGGGTGGGAGTTCCTAGGGAGGGTAAAAAAAATGTAAATTAGCAGTTAAGTTTAGATGATAGAGTGCTAATTTCACTCAAAAATTGATTTACTACTATAGTTTATGAACTATAATGCTAATTGTTTTGAAAACTCTTTAAATGTTATAAACCAAAAAGAATTGTTTTAATATTAATTCATCTTTATAAATTTCTAACATGTTAGCTTTCATATAAAGTGTGGATAACATTCTATTTGGTAGAAGAAAGAAAAAAACTATAGGTAAATAGATGAGTCAAAGATACAAAATACTTTGAGTGATATAGCTTTACAAACAAGAACTCATATGTTAAACTATTTTAAATTTTTACGAGCAAGAACTTATATGTTAAACTATTTTAAATTTTTATTAGTGCACTTTTCAAGTTCGTTATTATTCTTTCTCAGATGGTATAGTTATAGTATAATTAAAACATAAAGTATCGACGTGTTTTTTTTTTTTTTTTGTTAACCATCTAACATTGGAGAAAAAAATACAAACCAAATAGATTTTCACCTTTGATTGTTCCTTTGTTCTTCATCAATTGTTTTATATTTCCCTTTTGCTTTCAATACACTCTATAGATAGAAATGTTCTTTAAAATCTACAAATAGAACAAACATGTAAAATAGAATAACTTATGAAAAATATAGAAATATTTGAAAAGATAATATACTTGTAGTGCTCACTTGCTCCACTTAAACGAATGCATGATATCCTGATAATTTTACCTGAGATCTTTCTGCAAAAAAATGATATTTTCGGTGAATTCAGGAGCGGATTTATGTACATGTAAGGTGTGTCACGTGACACGTCTTCGTTGAATTTTTTTACGAAATATATCTATATAAAAATATAAAAATAAATAAAAGGACACCCCTTATATGAGAATGCGTCTAGCGCAGGTAGCAGAGGCGTAGCATTGAATATGTTGCTTCCCGAGTTCGATTCCTTGGCAAGTGTTTTTTTCACCTATTTTTCTTCTCTCTTAATTTTTTCTTTTTTTCCCACGTTTTATAATTTTTTCTTTTTACAATTTTTTGTTTTCAATTCAAAACAACAGGAAGGTCCCTATTCCCTTCATTAAAAACCTATCGATCCACTCTAATTTATTCAAAATGTAA